CAAAGAATGAAGGTTGAAAATACTTGCTCATTTTCATGTCAACCTTTCTTGGGTCATATACTAATATCCCCCCCCCCCCCACACACACACACACACACTTCTGTTTATTTGTCTGTTAGGCAGAGCTACTTTGTAAACATCTCACACAGAGCCCCAGAGCCTTTTCAAATAGCTGATTGCAGCAAAATGCCTCCGAACAAATGATGGTCCAGGGAAAGACAAATTCTAGATCTGTTGCTGCACAGATGACATGAAGATAGTCTGTGATGGGGGAGAGGGCAGAAAAAAAGTATCGCCTCAAAAACGATGGGGGGAACGAAAAGCATAAACGACTGCAGCAAACTGGGGACCCTCTGATCCAGTACTCACTGCAACCCCCGCAAAAACGAACATGAACGCACAAACCTTACATCTACTATACCTACCTTACCAGTGCGATAGCTGCAGCTGCACAGAGGTCCTTTTCACTCCGCCAAATTCTTCCAGGGAATCCCGACAGAATATCAGACAACAGGAATTATTTGAACAAGGCTCCCCTCTGCTTGGAATCCAACGAGATTTTCTTGTCCAAAGGAATGCAACGACCACAAAAAAATAAAAATAAACAAACAAGAATGCCGCTGGATTTGGAGGAAGCTGGTGCTTACTGTTGCAAACGACCTACATTCAGGAAGAAAATTCATTACAGATCAGTACAAGAGGGAGAGTTGGGTCTGTGAGTAAGAGCTCTGATTGCCTATGCAGAGACACAGAGACAGGGAGAGAGACTGATCTGCAAGGAAAAGAGAGATTGAAGAGGGAGAGCGGTCCAGGCTGTACCAGTCTTTCTCCTTCTGCTATTGGACCAAACTGAGTGAAATTTACAAAGCCAGCAGCCAATAGATCTCTGCAGTCTGCCCCATCACTAAGAAACCATATCTACATCTACAACCTAATGCAAAGAGCATCTAACCCTACTGCAAACCAGCTGTAGCAATATTATCTAGGGTACCTGTATGGTTGAACAGGTGGGCATTTTACACATGTAGAAATAAAGGTGTGGAGGCAAATCACAGCAATACTGCTATTGTTTTTTTTCTAGTCCCACATCTTAGACAACAAATCCATTCTTTTTAAACCATCATTAAAGCTAAGGTTTTACAGTGTTGAGTGGGGTTTAAAGTAGCAGCACTGAACCTCTGTCAGTGGTTTACAAACTTACTCATATTAACATACAATGACTGGAAAGAAATGCATAACTGAGTAACAGCTATTGCCTGATTTGGGTTCCCCTATCTGCTTCTTCTCGAGATAGAAAAAGCACAGAAGCAATTTACTAAGTGCAAAGCTATTAAGATATATTTCCATATTAATAATGTGTAATTGCAAGTTTTAATTATCAGAAATGTTGGAGGTCAAGTGTAAGGACTGTACTAGCACTGTGTTTAGTGCTAGTACCACCATGAGACTCAAATTCACTTTTTAGGCCATCAAACAGATACAGTTGTTCAGGATATGGGTGCTGAGTCCTGGAAACACATATGCCATGCTTTGCTCTGTAGTGACTTCATCTGGTCAATGTAAGAGAATCAATGAAGGTTAATCACAATATGTGGCTTTGAAGGTGATAAAGGGAACTGAAACCAGATGAAATTTGGGAAGTCCCACAGTGACCACTGGAACAAGGAAAGAGAATGGGGAAAAGGTGTTGAGGTTTTTCATACACTGAAACAAAAAGTCAACACACTTCTGAGAGATTTCAAATTAAAAAACAAGGCTAGACTTTAGAAATGGTAAATATCGTTGCTACCCTAAAATACTGGAAAATCTAGTTATCTGATGAATATCTAGTAAAGGACTCTTTTTCTTCTGCCATAGCTGTTTACATCAGACTACCAAACGCAAGCAATGTGTGTCCCGCTTTCTGAAAACTGGACTTTGTCTATGCTATTGGCTTTAACATTCTTACTCCTTCACTGTTTTAAGCAACAGGGGGAGATATATTGAACCTTGAATTCAGGATCTAGCAGAAAACATTTGGACTAGTTATGTGCCTGTACTGATCACAGAGCTCCTGCAGCATCACATCACATGCCAGTTATGTCATCCATCATAGAAGACAAATTGGGAGGATATTTATGCTATATTTAATCTGGGTAATGATCTCCCACTTTTGTCAACATATGAAGCAACAAATGAAGCAATTATATTTGTTACCACAGGACTGTTTTCCAACAGTGACAACTCTACATCCCACAGGATCCGAAAGTGTATTAACACTGGTAAACTTTCCATAGACTTTGGAGTTACACAAACTTTACATTTCTTCACCCTCAATATACAATAAACTATTACATCAGAAAATAACACTATATAATAGTTTAGGCCAGAAAGAATATCTCCCCAACCCTACGGAAATTACTGAGGGAACGTAAGTAGGCAAAATATAGTTACTGAAGTAGAAATTTGACTAGAACAATGGGGTTAATATTCACCATGTATAAAAAAATGCAATGGATTCTTAAAGAGGCACTGGAGTATTGATAAGTTGGAGACAAAGGCACTATCTATTGAATCAGCAGCTTTTAGATGCTGTATGGAGGTATAGCCTCTCATTAATTTAGCATGCAAAATTACACAATTTCCAGCAACAGGTTCTTTAATCAGGCAGCACCAAAAATTCATTCTGAAGAAAGAGTTGGGATGAGAGATATAAAGAAACATAAAATCTTTATTAAACAGCCAAGTAACTCAAAACATAAACATTAACATTAAGAAAATAGACAACAACATCCAATGCTGTCTTTCTCATAGCCCTATGGAAACAAAAAGAGAGAAGAAAATAGTAAGTGGATACCATCATAAATGGATATGAAGCTCAGACATATGCCATGTGGATACCCAGATGAACCCACTAGAGGTTAGATATACACCTTATTTTGCACTCTTTATCCCATGCACCCTGTAACCTACAGGGATGATGTAGTGTATGCTAAGGCCTGGCAGCATATGGGTATGTGAAATGAGACAATTCAGAGACATAGTCCCAAGATATGTGGTAAATATGTTTTCCTCCTAATTGTTTTGATAAAATTATAGTTATAGTTATGCATCATTTAACATCAACATAAATGACATACCTATAACTATCTAGCATTATCTATTGAATCAAGGTGGATGCTAATTAATTAAAGCATAATATTATAATTGATTAAATGGAATTCACAATAGAAATGCTAACAGTAGATCTGATAGTCTTTAAGGGACACTTGATTGTGTCCAAACTTTGCTTGGCAGCGGTGATGGAGGAGGCAGTGTAAGATGCTGATTTTAGATGCCCATCTACCACTGATGGAGAAAGGATTAAACCCACTCTTCCCATGTAGGGACTTATCACCCCAGATGCATAATTTTGTGTTTGAATACAAGTATAAATGAAGTGTATGGTAATATTGTAATGCCTATTTGGTGTACCTAATCACTTTCTTTTAAATTATGTCTTTAATTTTATCACTTGTAGTGTCATTCACAATCCTCCTCCAAATTACATTATCTGTAAGGGTACATCTACACAGCAACATTATTTTGAAATAACTTCGTCCGCATCTATACAGCAGGCAGTTATTTTGAAATAATGTTGAAACACTGTCAAGCTAGAGGACTTCTTACTCTGACTCCTGTAACCACAATTGCATGAGAAGTAAGGGAAGTCGAAGGAGGAATGCCCTATTTCGAAATAAGTGCTGTGTAGATGCTCCCAATTTAGAAATAAGCTATGCAATTGACGTAGCTCAATTTGCGTAGCTTATTTCAAGTTAAGCCCTGCTGAGTAGATGCACCCTAACCGCCTTAAGGCTTGAAACTTAAGAAATACATCTTGGTTTCTTTCCTTACCTCTACACTACTAATTGGGAACATATATATCAAAAGGTTGCTATCCACAAATGTTCAATGACAATATTTAGATTATCTCTCAACTGTCTGTTTATGTGTGGCATTCTAAAGAGCCATAGCTGGGGTTTCAATTGCTGACATTGCTTTTTTGTATCAATACATTTCTCAATATTTCTAACACATTAATGTGGTTAACCTCATGGTTTCATGTTCTAAAAGTCCCTTGTTTATTCCTAAAAATACATATTGCCAAAAGCTCCTGTAACTTTAGAACCTAGATCAAACACACATGCTAACTTACAATAGTGGAATCATGAGCTTTTGTGAGGAAAATCCACTTCCTCAGATAAGCAGAGAGAATTAATCTCTTTCTCTTCACTTATCTGAGGAAGTGGGTTTTGCCCATGAAAGCTTATGATTCTAAATATATTTTTTTGTTAGTCTCTAAGATGCTACAGGACTCCCCTTTTTTTACAGTTACAGACTAAGGGTGAGTCTACACTGCACTGTAGCTGGAAATAAGATAAGCAATTTGAGTTATGCAAATTGCGTATCTTATTTTGATCTTTTTTCGAAACACCTTATTTCATAATATGGCATTGTCTATGTAGCGCCAAATTTCAAAATAATCCAATATTCCAATACATCTCTTACTCCTTGTGGAATGAGGTTTTAGGGATATCAGAATAGTAAGCTCGTTACATTTTGAAATAATGGGCTTGCTGAGAAGATGCAGGATAACTATTTTGGGATACTTTGGCATCCCAAAATAGCATTGCAGTGAAGATGTAGCCTAGCATTGCTACACCTCTGAGACTTTACAATAACGACTCATGAAAAGCCTATTTCCTAAAAGTATTTTAAATATGTTCTCCAACTTGCATAGTAAAGTTTTCTTGAGCACCTTATCTTTTCTTATCATATATATGATAAAATAAAAGCCTTTCTTTAAGGAGTTCCAAAATCATGCCAGGGGTCACAGGTTAACAAAGCCTTTATGCTGAAGTACTCAGTTAACAACTTGACTTTACTTACTGGTCAATTGTGAAGTCTAATGAAATAATAGTTACCCTAATAATAATGGTTTCCTTAAGATCATGAGCCATGTTATGCTATATTCTACCCCTGAAACCACAGTTTGTATGGGTGAAAATGAGAGCATAATTTGAGCCTACACGTCTAAGCAAACCCCATGCTGGTCGGGTTCCCCCCATGCAAAACAGACATGGCGGGGCCCTTCGTGGTGCAGGAGCTGCGAGCCGGCAGGGGAGGGGCCCTCATGGCCACTTCTGCCCCCCCCCCCAGAAGCCCATTGGCCGGACCTGGACAATGGTAGCTGCGGGAACCTACCAGTCCCCAAGCACATGGGCAGGCAGGGCCTGTGAGAGAAACAGGAGACCAGCGTGTCTCGCTGGTAAGTGTCCGGCCCCCCAGCTCCTCCCACTCTGAAATCTTCACCCACAGAACTCTCCTCCCAGACCCTGCACCCCAATCCCCTGCCCTGAGGCACAATCCAAACCCCTGGCCTGACCCTTCTCCCCGCCCCCAAGAAAAATGTCTGGTATTCTGGTATTTTCAGTTTCTCAGCTGGAAAGCCACTTGGGACATTCTTCCCCTGCCATGTGGAAGGGAGTGTGAAATTTAAAGGTGCCATGATTTTTTTTGGGGGATGAGGGTGCTTTTTTTGCTCAACATTTAGACATCCCCCTTTTTATTAATTCAGAATTTTGTTTAAAAATGAATTACAATATAATTTAAATAAAAATTATCCAATTAAATTAAGTTTCTATCAAATTTACTCAATTCACATTTAATATGAAAATAGCCTTCAATTTCACATTTGACGCCTTTTTTTGTTGGCGCCCACCACACTCTTCTGAAAACATGAATGTGCTCTTGGTCACAAAAAGGTTGGGGACCACTGGTCTAAGAAATTCTCTTTTTAGAGCTGTGATGTTATCTGTGATAATAACGCTTCACAAACAAAGTAGTAACAAGCAATTTTATTAATTTCACTTTTGCTAGCAACAGTTTTGCCCATATTTTTTTAAATAAAAACTGCTAGAAGAAAATATATATCTAGCCTGGCTGTCATCATTAGAAATGGACAATAGTAAAATAAACTAGTATAAAAGCAGAAATGTAGGATAAAAGCAGGAATTTAGA